GACTGATGCACATACCCTTGTATTCTCCGCCGTAACTAACTTACATAATGGGGTGCATGTTCTCTCACCTCGCCGCCAAATTCGCCTTCTTCCCACCCTCTCCTCCCACTTACCACCTCACCAAAACCCCCGACGGCAAACTCTCCGCCGTATCCTCCGCTTCCTCCTCCTCCTCCACTTTTCCCTCCGCCGGAGACCCATCTCTCGACGTCAAAGTAGTAAAGACAAGACGCGGCAACAAAGTCACAGCTTTTTACCTTAGAAACCCTAACGCAAGACTCACACTTCTCTACTCTCATGGAAATGCTGCAGATTTGGGACAACTCTTCGATCTCTTTGTTCAACTCAAAGTCAATCTCCGAGTCAATCTCATGGGGTCTCTCTCTTTCTCGCTCAGATGTTCATAACTCCTAATACGTCGTCGTTTCGTATTTAGCATTTATCTTACTTTATAAATTGCTTATTGAGATTTCTTGAAAATCATTGTTTTTAATGCTTATTAGGATTGTATACACAGATTTATCAAGAACTATAATTAAATTAAGCAGATTTTGTTAAGCTAATCATAATTAAGCATATTTTTCCTAGCTTTTGTTGTTTTTTTCCTAAGATTTTATTCGTTACAAAAATTGTTCTTTTTTGGTTAAAGGTTCACATTTTTTAACTCCTTAAAGTATTTTTCAACTTCTTGAGAAAGCTCACGCTTTTGGGAAATGGGTTCTTGTCTCGTTGCCCAAAAAGCTCAGATTTGGTGATATTTCCGACAAGTTTTCTTTTTCCTTTATTTGTGTGTAAAATTTGCATGGTTTTAGTAAAATGTTTGGTGTTTTCTTTTTTTTTGTTTTGTTTAGTGTCGTTTTAGTTTCTTGAATTTGACCTTTTTGTTTACCCCAGAATTTCAATTCGAAATTTCTCACCTACCACCGTTCAATTGTATTTACTCTTTTATAACGTTAGATTTAAATCTGAACATAGGTAGGTGATGTAATATAAGTTGTAACCTTTCATTGTTATAATCAATACTATAGGTCAGTCAATTTATGAGGGTTCATTTATACTTTTGTCGCTTCGAGTTTTGATTTAATTTTTTGTTATCTTTGTTTTATTTTTCAGGTATGATTATTCAGGCTATGGAGCTTCTACTGGTAAGGTGTGTCAAAATGCATCTTCTCTAGTAAAATGCTTAATAGATTTAAGCCCAATAACTTAATTTCATCGAAAATGTTACCTAGAAATCTTTTCATAGGTTGTTGGAATGTTCTGTATTAATCTCATAGAGTCTAGGAATATTGAATTTTTAGGTGATGGGATTGAGAATTTTCTCCGGTTTTCATTTGACTAATTGTGGTTTTGTATGTTGTGTTTGTAGCCGAGTGAGTACGATACATATGCAGATATAGAGGCGGCGTATGAGTGTTTGCAGACGGATTATGGGGTAGGGCAAGAAGATTTGATCTTGTATGGTCAATCTGTTGGCAGCGGTCCAACGCTGCACCTTGCCTCTAAGCTTCCACGGCTTAGAGGTGTCGTTCTTCATAGCGGCATTCTCTCTGGTCTTCGTGTTCTATGTCATGTCAAGTTCAAGTTTTGTTGTGACATTTATTCGGTATGAAAACTCGTTGCTGCTTGTTGTTTTGGCGATTTAAGTGCTTCAAGTCCTAGTTTAGGAAGTGTGAATGACAATACCATGCTACTTTAGTTAAATAAGAACAGTTTCTTTTGGAACCGTGTTTTACTTGTGGATAGTATTTTACATGAACAACATTTCGTATAAGTCCTATGGATTGA